GAGAGGGGACAGCAGGGCACAGGCAGCGGAGCCTGAAGCGTGTGGCGGGTTGGGGACCAGGCGCTGTTCTGGGGGCTCCAGCCTTGAACCCCACAGATGACACTCCCTGGCCCGGAGCTCACAGCCTGTGGGGGGCACAGAGGTTCACCAAACACCTGGCTAGCTGCCCTGTGACCAGTGTGTTGAGGACGAGCTTCCCAGGTCTCCACTTTGTCAGGAAGGTGAAGGAGGGCTTCCCTGAGGAGGGGACACCTACACTGAGATCTGAGGGGTGAGGAGCGGAAGCTCTGGGGAGATGAGGAGGAGGTGGGCTCCCCACCGTGGGGACAGCACGTGCAAAGGTCCTGTGGTGGGAGGGAGGGTGGTGGTGCTTTCAGGGCCTGAACGGTGTCCCTGAAGCTGGGTGGACACTGAGGGGAACGGAAGAAGCTGGAGGAGTTGGGAGGGGTTGAGAGGGGTTGAGGATGACCTCAGGGTTCCTGGTAGAGGTGAAGCCTTCAGTGCAGTCAGTCATGACCTGGGAGCCAGGTTTGGGGGGAAGGTCGTGATCACCAAGGTTACACCTTTGTGGTCTTTCCCTTCTGACCTTTCAGATGTAAGAGGTTTCTTCTTGCCTTTTCATCTAGTATCTTCTCCACCCCTCCCCTGCCCCTAAGGGTCAAGGAAGAGAGAGGACCAGAGAGGGGGTGTGGGAGTGTGATTTCCCAAGGCCACACAGCGAGCTTGGGCAGAGCTGGAGGCAGCTCCCGGAGCGGGGCCTTCCCTCCACATTGTCACCCGCTGCGCCCCGGACATCGCAGCCACAGGCGAGGTCCCCGCTCTCCAGACTCTGCCCTGCAGGCCACGGCCCACGGCTCCATCACCCTCTGAATGAATAGCTGAAGACACACTGTGTTTAAGGAGTCGGTTTTTCAAATGGTTCAAAAAGAAGTTGATAAATGGGTCCTGTCCTTTCCTGGGAGATTTTAGATTGCCTTTTTCTTTATTACTTCTATTCATCTTTTATGGCTGTCTCTTTGACACACAGATTCCCCGTGTCCCGTGGTGGCCGGAGGTCCCGTGAAAACCGCTCCCGCAGGGCTGAGGGCACCTGTCCGGGGGTGGCCCCGGGCTGCCCTGCAGGGCTGGTGCCGGGAGCTGCGGCAGCGCGGGGCTCCTTGCCTCGCCCTCCGCAGTCAGCCCTGGGACTCGCCCTCCAATTGGGGGGGTGGTGAGCTCCCCGTCCCTACAGGTCCCCACAACCTGGGCAACGTTTTGAGGGAACCGAGGCTTGGAGCGTGGGACTGGGGTCATGACCAGGACTTCAGCTCTGTGCCCCTCCCCACCCCGCCCTTCATAGACTTGGGGGTGGGGGTTAAGGAACCAGCAGTTACCACATGAGTGGGGGCCTTCAGGGTCCGATTCACCCCCTCCATTGCCAGTTCCGGCCCCATCTCATCCCAAGGCTGAGGCTGTGCTTTCCCATTTCACGGAGGAGGAAGCTGAGGCTCTGAGAGGTTCAGTGAGGCAGGAAGCAGCAGGGACAGCATTTTGACCCAGGCCTGCCTGTTTCTTTCTCTAAAGCTCGACTGTCGCCAAGAGAATAAAGCTGTTCGGAAGTGAGCGCTCCCCTCGTGCCAGGCTCGGAGCACAGCGTTTCCCGTGCTGACCCCCAGCTCACCTGGACCAGGGCCTCCACCACTTCTCAGATGAGGAACCTGAGGCTCAGAGAGGTTAAGCTATTTACCTGAGGACACACAGCTGGTGAACCCTGGAGCTGGGGTTCGATCCCAGGTCTGTCACTGCAGTCTGTGCTGTAACCACTGCACCATACTGCCTTCCCCCCAAAGTTCTTCTTGGGGTCCCCCCAGCTCCTCCACCCTGACCTTTAGACCAGCTAGGAAAGGTCCTGACCCCAGGATTCATTAGCATAAGAAACGGGTCATAAAATTCTAGAGGGTGAGGAGTACTTTATTTACTTTCATCTCTTCTGTCCCTTAAGAATTACTGAATGAGTGAATGAATGAATACAGTTTCTCTGCAGCCTGGCAGAGGTGGTTAGGCAGGTAAGAGGTGATCAGGCAGATGGGAGGCTGGAAGGCAGGTAGGAGGCTGAAAGGCAGGTAGGAGGTGATAGGCAGGTAGGAGGTGGTCAGGCAGGTGGGAGGTGATCAGGCAGATGGGAGGTGATCAGGCAGGTGGGAGGTGATCAGGCAGGTGGGAG